GTCCGGATTTAGACTTAGCAACAAAATCAGAAGATATTTTCTTAGGTTTTAACCAACAAGATGTAAGTCTTGTTGCTGTGTTACTGAAGGCTGCTTTTGACAGCTCATCTGAACTGGCCTTCCACTTCATAATGTTGCAGGATGGGATGACATTTTTTTTGCTCCTAATCCTGCTGGTAAGTCTTGAGGCATTTGGAGGTGTAACTTGGCTACTCATCTTCAGTTCCAAAAGCCAGTTCCAATCTAACATTACTCAGTCTCGGTGCCTGTACAGCTCCACCTGGTCTTCATTTAGTATCAGCTCAGCACAGGTGACAGGGGATAGAGCCAGTAATAGAACAATGCATTTTTCTCACAAACAAGTAGTCTTGACAATGAGTGGTTAGACTCTAGTATGAATGTGATACAGATGACCAAATTGTCACTAAAGTGTCCTGAAAAGATATTCTTCTTTTTAATAGCTCCAGCTATGTTTTGCCTCCATCAGTTTTTGCTAAGGACACTGGGCAATGGTAAAAATCAAAATACAGGATAGAGAAGAGTTCCCACATACGGGTGAAAAACATCAGATTGACAGGCATGGAAACCAAGCTCCTGTATTCACAAGTGAAGAAATACAGCATGGGCAGTACCTTATATAACCTTCCATTTCCTGATGCTTGGTAGCTCCGAAATGAATGTCTGACAAGATGGGGAGAAAATGTTCCCTCTGTTTAAGGAGGGACTCAGATGCAGCTCACGGAAATGATTCATTCTACCCAGAGCAGAGCTGGAAACAGCCTTGGATTTGCTGGTAATTTGCTCTAAACATGGACTGCTGTCTCTGACAGCAAAACTCACTCTGGGTGTGCATTCACTCTTTCCCATTTAATACTTGCCTGCCTGGGTACTAGAAAATGGACTCAGAAGTCATATGTGTCATACAACCTATGAAAAAAGTGTCAAGTAAAAGCTTCATTCTTACTATTGACCTGAGACATGAGACTCTTTGATCCCTCATCTTGGCGTTATTTGTCATGCTCACGGGAATTTCAATTTAAGGGGAAGATACTAAAGGTGCAACTCAAAAAAAAAAAAAAAAAAGGCTGCTGAGAATCACTGGACTGTTGTCCTGGAAAGAAAAGATTTACATGGAACTCAGCAGACTGCTAAGCTTCAAATAAGTTTTAAAGGAGGGGAGTAAGAGGACTGTCCGTTGTGCAGCAGAGTTCTGCTCTGTTGTGAACAGCCTAAAATAATGGGTCTGCTGGTCTCCACCGTGCTGGGAAAGGATGTGTGATGGGCTTTGCTCTGCTGGCCCTCTGTGGCACAAATGCCAACAGCAGCTGCCCAGGGAAGCTCCCTATGTCCCACCATGTTTGCACAGTCTGTCTTCTGCCTTGGTGCTTTCCCTTCACCCGCTTTCACAATCTGAGGTGCTAATCTAGTACATCATATCCATTTTTTTAGCATGGCACTTCACTGGCAGCTATTTGATGTTGTACTCACAAGGCATCCAACAGCGCTCCTATTATTGAGACTGAGCATTAGGGCCTTTTTGGAGTTCTCAGGATGGTCAAGCGGCTCATCTGTAGGAGAGCTCTTTAGCAGAGAAAAACCTTCTTAAGAGAGGATGCCATGACAGAGTCTACCAAAATTCAAGACTGACTCCACCTACTAGGACAGACAAGCTGTTCGGTATCTCTCTGTTGTTAACACCCTAAGAACATAAACGTCAGTTCGCTCAGCAGAGAGACTGAAAGATACATCAGCCAGCAATAAACAGATGGCAACACTGCTGGGAAATTCAATTAAAGCAAGGGTCGAAAATGCATTTGAGATATAGAAGAAAAAATAAGACAAATAAATAGCTTTATGGAGCACTGATACAAATAATGACCTAAGAAAGTGAGTTAAAATAAGCCTAAAAAGAACAGGTTCACAAATACAGCCGTAGTTCCCTGTGCATCAGTTCTGAATTCCTACCACTCTAGCTACAAAGCATTTTGACATATTTGTGTAAACAACAATCAGCTCTGTATGACCAGTGTATACTGAAACAAAAAAAAATGTGTTGCACACGATAAGATTTTGGCTGCTTTCTCCATACTTTGGTTTGGTGCAAAGCAAATGGTTCCAAAAGAGATTTTTCTGAGTGGGTGACACTACACAGCACATGGAAATGACTTAAGTCAGCAGTCACACTGCATTAAAACAGAAAATTTGCATGAAAAATACTGCTACATGATATACTCTTGAGTGTTTTATTTGCACTTTTTTTCAGCATGGAGTTCAGAAGGAACATTCATTTTCTGTGAAACGCAGTACTTTAAACAATAGTCAGAATTACCCAAATTGCTTTTCTCTTAACACCAGAAGACAAAGCTGTAAAATAACATTTTACAGTTGTTTACTATTTAGAATAAAGATGTCATTCTCTTCCTTTTAAGCTGGATTTTCGGATTCAGAGTCATTGGAATCTGTATTAAAAATGTGGTGTATTTCACCTTGCCTGGTTTCTACCCATGAAACCAATGAAGAGCGCACAAGAAGTGTTGAACAGAAACACTGAAATTCTACCATCACTAACAAACTGTGTATCTGATGTTTACTATCTGTCTGTCAGTTTTCCTGGATTTCCTTGGAATTTTCCTGGATTTTCCTATAGAAGATGATTCTATGTGGTTTTTCAAAATAATGTTTTTCACCTCCTGACAGTCAACTAAGAACATCTTATGTTCTATAAGGAGAGGACCTCTCTGATGAGCTAAAGTCTGCAGTAATACAAGCACTGTAGGAAGAATTGTGAGAAACAAAAGAGCTTCCTTCTGCCATATTCCACTAAGGAGGCAGAAAGTTGGGGAAAATATATTCTCTCAATAGTAAGAGAGAAACAAGTAGAATTTCATGCTGCTGTGAAGTTGATTAGACATATGTACCGTGCCCTATTAGAGAGAGAGTGGGAAAAACGTTTTTGTGCTTCCAGGTAATGCAGGCCTCACAGTGTGAAGCATCAGACAGAACATTCAGGTTCAGGTAGTTAAATTTAGGTTCTGTTATGAATAAACAGCACACAAAATGTCAGGAGTAAACAGAATTTTAAGCCCTTGCACCTTTCTGGGGTTGCTTTCATCTGTGACAGATGTTAGCAACCTCAAGAATTTTAACTACAGCTTGTGAGGTCTGTCACCTTTCCTTTCATACCTGAATCATCCCCCAAGCCAAACACTGGGAGCACCTCATAACTCAAAAGTCTCCAGTCCTCTGGGTTCTCTCTTACACAGAAGGATACCAGTTTGGGTCCTCTATCTTGCTGTACAAAATCAAGGGGCAGATTAAACTGAGTTATGATCTCAAGTTGTCAGCCTAAATCTGATGGGTCTGAAAGCTCTGGGACTGCACAAGGCTGGGAATCTATGCTGCTAACTGAACTTTGCTACATCAACCTAGCTCTTGTGCAAATCTAGGTAAGTAACAAGCTTCTTTCAGCTAAATTGCAGTTTTAGTCAAACACCTGATATTTAATTCAGATGTTGCCCTTGAGCATTCAACACTTGGTGGATAACAATTAGTTCCTAATGTTTGCTGATACCCCACTTCTCCTATACAGGAAATCTAAACATTTTATGTAAGTATCTGACATTAAGCTGTCACAATCTGCTACAGTTGCCGAACTCTGTATTAAATATAATGCACAGTACTACACTGGTGTGGGTGGACAACATAATCGGGCATCCTCAAAGACACCTAAATCTGTGAGCAACCTACATACTGTGCCTGTATAAAAGGACATATTATGGTTGATCGTGACAAGAACTTTCTTCTAAAAGCACTTACAAAAAATGTAATTGGAATGTTTAACCCCTACACCCTTTCTGTATCAGTGATTACTTCTTCCATCTGGCCATAGCATAGGTCTACTTGCATCACTGCCTAATAACCATGGCATACTTGTGCTTTCAAGGCTTGGGACTGGGATTTTTCATATTTAGTACTTAGATGAGGTAATTTGAATGAAATGAGCTTGATTTGTGTGTTTATGTATGCGTATAGCTAAAGATAGTGGACTTGGCTGTAAGATGGTTTTTGTGATTGGAGCAGACTACTTTATTCACTCCAACATCGCAGCTGAAGAACAATCTGGAGGAAAAAATACTCCAGCTACTGATCTTCATTTTCAAGACATAAAACTCAGCCCTTTTACATCCTTTCCTCTTTCATTATTTACAAATAAGATTTTGACTTTCTTACTTTCAGGAAATTTAGCCCAATAGGTCACATTCCTCATACCTTAGTTTCCACTAACGTTAATCAGGGGTTCATCACAGAGTACAGTTTCAGATTGGACTGTTGACTAATCTAAAGATAAGAAAGCCCGTAGTAATAACACATGTGATTGAGACAGCATCATGAAAAGTTGTTTTTTTCTCTCAAAAGACTTGAATCATCAGTTGTACCATTCAAAGCCTATAAATACACGGACTATTGCAAAATAGTGGGCTTCTGTACTGCAACTGTCTGTAAGCCTGTCCAAACTTCAGCAAACTTCTTTGTTGTCAATGGGACTGTTTCAAAGGAGAGACCTACATTTTAATGTAAGTTAATATAAGTGTTAGCAGCGTTAGCCATAGATTTCTATCTTATGTTGCCTTCAGGATCGTCACTGCATTTCATTTATGGAAATACTAATTAGAATGTAGATGAGTACAGGCTGTCTCTAAGGCTTTTTTTTTTTTTTTTTTTTTTTTAAATGAATACTATCTATATTTTGAGAATTTTTGTCTGTCATTAGGTTATACTTTACAGTTTTATGTTAAATTAGTATATTCTATGCTTACCTGTATGTTTTATGAAACTATTTCAGGTTTTAATTTTATTTCCTTTTTAGAGTATTTTGAAAAAAATATTAACAAACATTTGATAGGTACTACATGAACTGTAATAGCACAGTAAATATAATACAATAGTTATTTGCCAGATACATCCAAGAAAAAAAAAAAAAAAAGAAAAAAGAAAAAAAAAAAACACACCATTTCTGCTACTGTCTTTAAGGAAACTCCTTTTCTCTTTTTCCTCCTCCCTCTCTGCTCCACTAGCTGAAAAGCCAATAAAAAAATTCTCCACCTCCTACACAGTTCAGAACAAGATCTGTGTGCATTTATCCTAGGCATGCTTTGAGACCCAGAAGGGGATGAAAGTAGTCAATGTGCAACGGGAATCTTAACTTCAGACACTAATCTGTACCTCTCTCTTGACCTTGCTGATATGCTGCAAGCTAATTATTAAACTTTATAATTATTTTTTTATTTTTTGGATCAATTTAAGTCCAGCCTGGGGAGAAGAAACAGTTAAAGAAATGTCTCAAGTATACTTGCATTCATCTAATCAGACTTTGTGTGCATCTACAAATGGTACAGAACTGAAATCAATCATTGATAATGAAACCACAAATGAAAAATGGACTGAAGACTCCTTTCCAGGATTAGAAATACTGTGCACAATTTATGTTACATATGCTGTGATCATTTCAGTGGGTCTCCTTGGAAATGCTATACTCATCAAAGTCTTTTTCAAGATTAAATCAATGCAGACGGTTCCAAACATCTTCATCACCAGCCTGGCATTTGGAGACCTACTGCTTTTATTAACTTGTGTGCCTGTAGATGCAACACGTTACATTGTGGATACCTGGCTCTTCGGAAGAATTGGGTGCAAGCTGCTATCTTTCATCCAGTTAACCTCAGTTGGAGTATCAGTGTTCACACTGACTGTTCTCAGTGCTGACAGGTGGGTCTGATGCAACTGATTTGCCAGGAAATACCTCAGGTGTGAAATTAGAAATGAATAAAAGAGCATAAATGATAATTTTCACAACAGTAAATGGCACATTTTAATGAACTGAAAAAAAGAATGTATCTCCCATTTATTTTAAAAATGTGTGTTAGAAAAATTGGAACAGTTCTTTTTAATAGAGTGAAGTGAGACTCATTAAGTCTTCTGACCTTTTATTAGTTTGAAGTACAGTACTTTTTTTTTTTTTTCTCCATTGCACAGAAAAGGTAAATTGCTTAAGGCAGGGAAAAGACAGTATATTAGTGCTATCTAGTGGTGCACTAAAGTAGTCAATGAAGATGAAAAATAAAACTGTGAAAAATGACTGAGTGGAAATCTTTTGTCTTACTCCTGTGCACTCAGTGAGGCTCTAAAATCTTAGAACTAAAACAAGTGGCATGTGGGATGAAGAGCCAAAAGTAAACTCAGAACAGACTTTGGGACAAACTACTTCCATGACTCTCATGACTTGAAGGTTACTGCAATACTTACGGTAGTTTTCATGTTAGTAAGTGCTTAGTGTGAGATAATGTGGCACAATTGGAATACTTTCTCTGCTTTGAGTTTACAGTTCTTATATTTTTTCCAGATATATTTTAACCCAGAGGTCCTGAAATTAAACTCAGGTTACAAATGAAGCATTGTTGAAAGGGATCAGTGCTCCCATCTGACTCTTTTCATAAGGAACTGCTGAATAACCATTTTTCAATGCACCTCCTTTCTGAATGAACAATACTACAATGAGATTCCAGACCAATCAGCGTGAGCATGGCAAGGAGCAGAAAAAGACAAAATTAGTTTTAGTACTAATAAAGAAAAAGATTTTCATCTTGGATATCAGCAGTTGTAGATTGTATATATTAGCATGTGTCCAGACTTTAAATCCCAAGTAATGCTACTGTTACTGTAATCTAAAAAAAATCAGCCAACATAAAACAAGACATACTTTGTCAGGTCAAGGGGTGCATGCAGGCTGATACCCAGACTCCACTAGTGGTAATACAAAGACAAGAAAAGACACATAGGTAGGGTAAGAACACAGTGATGTTACAACACTACACTTAAGCCTTGACACGATCTCCTGAGCAGATGTGGTTTCTGTCTACTTAATAATCTCAGTGCATTTTTCTTTTAGATCCTTGTCCAGTCTCTTCTTGAACTTGGTTAGCAATGAATTTCACTGCCTCTTTCTTTCTTTTTTTGTCGGTGTTTTGATTTTTGTTTTGTTTTGTTTTGACATGGTTTCATTTGATGGCTCTGGCTCTTGTGCTGGAAGACTTAATAATCCCTATCCATACTCTCCTAGGCTGCTCATGTTATATTCCATCCTTAGTATGTTTTTTTGAGATGCGTGCAGAGCAGCACATGGTATTCATGAGTTGCTTTAACCAGAGATAGATAATTGCACAATCTCTCTTTTCAGTCCTTTGCTTTCCTAATAATTCCTAACATTTTGCATTTTATTTGTTACTAATGCTGAATATTAAGATGATGTTTTCATTGAAATATTTATCACAATTTCAAGATTGTGGTCGTGCATTAAGTCAATTCAGCATCCATCATTGAGACACTTGTTTCTGTATTTGATTCTTCATAGTAGCTGTTATATAAATACTACATAAGATGTTTTCACAGGATAACTATATAGCAAACTTACTCAGACAGTTCAGAACATAAGTCATGTGCACAATCATGTTTAAGTACACTAGAAGAGCTTGAGGTCAATAAAAATTGTGTTTATTTGATAAACAACAATCCAGACTTCAGTTTTCAGTTTAAACTTGACTAGAGGAGAAAGAGAAGAGCAGATCCTCAGCTTGTGCAAAATATTACACCTAAACTGTCTTAGTTCTCTGGATCCTTTTTCACTATGTTTCCTTTCATACCAGTCTTGTGCGCCCCTAGAAAGACCTCTTCTCTTCACATTGTTAAGTATCCCTGGTGTTTAGAGAGCAGGGTATGTTGATTTGTGTGTCTTACCCACCTTTGTGGGAGCTGCTTCCTTTTCCATGTCCCCTTTCCACAGAGATTTTGACTCATCCATAGATTTGTCCAGATTTTCTCATATGTTTCACTCAGTCCGGATGCAGCAGAATCACAGCCATGAATCAACAGCAGTGTTAGCTCATACTTTATGAATGTGAATGAACACCTGAGCATTAGTTTGAGTAAGATCACTGCACTCAGCTAGGATCTTAGGAACAAGGAGGAAAGTAAGAGTGCACATAGATTGTTTCAAGTGTTTATAAGCCTGTTAACTTAATTCATACCTTTACTTCATACCTTTACCAGTTTTGCAACTAACTCTCTCATTTATCTTTCTGTGCACCTCCACAAAACTAGGAGAGTTTAGTGATTCTAATCCAAACAGTAGAAAGTGCCTTTAAGCTTTAAGGAAGGCTTCAAGCACAAGTCAGGCCAGCCAATTCATCAAAACAATACATGCTTGAAATTAACTTTTGCATTTTCATCTTAATTATAATGAACTAGTGTATGTTTCATTTACAAGATGATTCTTCAAAATTGAGTTTAGTGCAAATAGGGATGGCTTTATCCTCAGAAAGTTTACATAATCAGTGCTTGCTCTACTACTGTATTTACTCTGACAGTGGTGTTGGTTGCTTTTAGGTACAGAGCTATTGTTAAGCCCTTGGAACTGCAGACCTCAGATGCACTCCTGAAGACCTGCTGTAAAGCTGGCTCTGTCTGGATTGTCTCCATGATACTTGCTATTCCAGAGGCCGTTTTTTCAGATCTGTATTCTTTCAGCAATCCTGAGAAAAATGTAACTTTTGAGGCATGTGCCCCCTATCCTGTATCTGAGAAGATACTGCAGGAAGCTCACTCCCTGGTTTGCTTCTTAGTGTTCTACATTGTGCCATTAGCTGTCATTTCTGTCTATTATTTTCTCATTGCCAGAACTTTATATAAAAGTACATTCAACATGCCAGCAGAAGAACACGGTCATGCCCGTAAGCAGGTAAGTTACGATCAAGGACTAAAGTGTCCAATTTTCCATAATCTATCAAGCTGATTCAAGTCTTCATTCTTGAGTGCAAAACCTTCTCCTAATAATATGCACAAACAGATGAATAAAATTCTCCATAAACTCAGGGCACATTAGCAATCCAAATGCAGCTGTACACTTACGCATATACTTATGTCTCATCAACTTAATTGTGAGTGTACATGCTTTCCTAAAGAGAAACTTTTTTTTTTTTTTTCCCCTAAAAGTTTGCTTTGCTTTATTATGACCCTATGAAACTCAGGAGTTATGGAGTAGAATTCTAAACAGTAAGACCTCATCCATGTTATCTGACTTGTACTTACTTATAAATCCTAATCTAGCTGAGATTCCCATGTGATTTATAATAGAAGGGGAATGTGCTTTTCATTGGAAATACTTTTTTAAACAAACAGAGTTTGATTTATTTGATTTATTTATTTTTTTCTTTGCCAATTTGTTTATTTATTTATTTATTTGTCACTAATGCGTTTAGACCTTTAGACTCCTTTGAAAATCAGCACCAAGTACATGAAAGTGTTACTAATTGCTATTAATACCAGGTATGCATTATTTTCTTGTAGATTGAATCCCGCAAGAGAGTTGCAAAAACAGTTCTGGTACTTGTTGCTTTGTTTGCCTTTTGCTGGTTGCCTAACCACATCCTCTACCTATACCGCTCCTTTACATACCATTCTTCTGTAGATGCTTCCACCTTTCATCTGATAGCTACTATTTTTTCCCGTGCGTTGGCCTTCAGCAATTCTTGTGTCAATCCTTTTGCTCTTTATTGGCTGAGTAAAAGTTTCCGGCAACATTTTAAAAAGCAAGTCTCATGCTGCAAGGCAAAACTTCGTACAAAGCCTCCCAGTGCTACCCAAAGTAATTCACCAACCAGAGCCCTGTCAATCACAGGCAGCACACATGGCTCAGAAATCAGTGTTACACTGCTAACAGATTACAGTATCACAAAAGAAGAGGAAAGTGTTTAGTCCATCTGTGATGAAGAATGACAGAAACTGACCAATAGCAGTTGAGTCACTACCGTCTGCATCATGGAGAGATGCCATGCCCTGCCCTGCCTCTGAAAGGATTTTCACCAGGAGTTCCTCATTTTTTAAAGCATACAACAAAGAAATCAAAGTGTGCGGCAGACGAAGATAAAGCAGCTGAAATTTTCAGCATAGGCTCAAAGGAGTTGGTCATTTGCCCAAGCATCAACACATGCCATTAGTGGAGATCCTTGTGTTGAGCAGGACTGGAGCCAGCAAAGTTGCTGTGAGAATTGGCTGTGGGGATTGTTTCGCTCTTGGTGACTTGAGACTGGGATCTCCCTTCTGTCAAGCACTTCCATCTAAAGCAAGCAAGTAAAACCATGCATCTTGATAAAACCATCAATCTGACAGGTTTTTATTTCGTTTCTTGTCCCAGATGTTGAAAATCAGTAAATGCATTGGAAAGCAAGTTAAAAAAAATGCTAAAGTTTGTAGTTTGGTGTAGTAAAAAAGAAAAGCATTATGAGCCAGATCAATGCTATGCTTTGCTCTGCCAGTGACTTTGAAATTTTGGGTATGAGCTGATTGCAGTTTAAAGGGATGGCCTTCTCACATCCCAAGAAGGTCAAGGGAACCAGCAGGCGATCATCTCTCCTAAGCTGTGATAATCGTCTTTAGCCACATTTGTAAAGTTCTTTGTGATCTATAGATACTACTCAAATGAGCAGAATTATTCATTGTTATAATGATTTTACATCATGAAATTGGTATGGATCTTTATGAGAGCTGTAGTTTGGATTTGCAGTGCACTTTTGAAGCAAACTGCTCAGACAACCCTATCTGCCTTACTTTGGTCTGCCTCCCAGAGTGCACAACCTGCCTTTCTTTCAGATAAAACTGTGTTCAGTCCATGGAACCAGACTGGAGCTGGAGTGAAGTAGAGCCCCCTAAATTGTACGGGGTGGGTGTCAGGCTAACCATTTCCCTATACAGATTCACTGCACCTGTAATGTGTTGCTTGATAAAATGTGTTGCATTTCTAAATCATCTGCACATTTACAAGCATGCTGGAGGAGATGTATTTTTCTATTGTACCAGCCTTCTATTTTTGAGTTATTCAAGTAACATCTCTTTTTCATATTATGATAGACTGTCTTTATGAGATTGGCCTTTTAATCTCAAATCCACTGATTTTAATGACTCTGCATGTGTAAACAAGTCAGCTATAGCCTATCATGGGCAGCCTGTTTATGCCTAAAAAGCAAAGCAGCACTGCTGGCGGGGACTGTCTTCCTACCAGGAAACAGAAGAAGCAAATATTCCAGCCCCATATTACCAAAATGTTGAATGAAACCTATTTTTATTAGGCTTGTGTACATTGAACCAAAATTTTGTTCTGTGGGAGTTGGTGTTAAAAATCCACAATAGATTTTTTATTGCTTAAATAAGGAACTTCTTTCTCAAAAAAGAAGTTGTGCATTGAATTATTGAAGAGAGGTTGCAATATATGAATTATACAAACCACTGCTGTCAGTCACAGAAGTTTGAATTTTATCTCTTATTTGAAAGGCTAACTAACCCTTGAAGACATAACACTCCTCCAGTTGCACAGAGCCCTTAACAACACATGGATGGAAATCCATCCATCCGTGCACTGTTATTTGAGTTCATTATAAGATGCAGGAAATCTATTCGCAGTCTCTCTCTTCTGACTGTCCTAATCAGAATAATAAAACTAATCTACAAATCCCAAAGGCATTGGAATACAACCTCTGTAGTCATCTTAAACCAGTTTAATGATAGCCCATTTTAATCCCATCAGGCCTGGCTTTATTGTACTACGCTCTTCACATTATTTGCTGCAAGACTGTAAGCACTAATTTTCAAATGGTTTCTCCATTTTATTGTACCAATTGTATACCAGGATAGGATCATTGAAGTAAATAGAAATATAACAGCACAGAAATGCAATTTATGGCAAAGCAGACTCCAGAGACCTCATCTTACTCTCTTTGTCTGAACAGAACACATTCCCTGGTACTGAGCAATGTACAAAAAGAACACATTACACTGATATTTTCCCCTTCTCATTCTCTTTAATGGAGCTGAAGGTTGAGACTGAAATGGGCAAATAATCCTACACACTTAAGACCCTACTTTTCTTTTCCTAGATCTTACTATAGGGAATTCTAAATAAAAGAAAGATCAACAAACATTATAGTCCCTTACAATACTCTCTATTTTAGTTTATTGAAACTTTTAGAAAATAAATATGCCACGTTTCTGGACTTCATAATTTGTCTCTGCTGGAGGGCATATTTTTCATTACGAAGTCCTTGGCGATACCTCACAGTGACCCTTAAAAATCAGTTTCCTAATTCACCATTTTCTTTGCTTTGCATGCAGCTACTCTTTTCTTGTGTAACTACTCCTCCAACTGGATGGTTTATCAATTGCTAATATATTGTATTAGAAATGTGATGTTTTTGCTATATGCTACACATATTTTGGTTAAAGACTGGCAATATTTCAAGTCATAATTTAACTATCCTATGTTAATAATTCTATATTTTCAAATCTTCATGAAATGTTGAATTGGAGTGATATATTGGTCAATATTTATTTTTATCTAAATGATCTGATGTTACTCATTCCATCAATTCGTCCAATATAACTATCCATAAAATATCTCCATGTTACCACAACTGGATTTAGGAGAAAGGAATCGTTTCTTTCGGTACCTTTTCTGAGTGTTAAAAACAGTTCTTTCAGCCCTAGGTAATATACATGTAATTCTATATGTGAATAATGTGTGTTTACAGAAATATTGAATGTCATTTAGCAAACAATTGGCATGAGGAATTAGGGTTTTACTATTCATATCCACAATGAAAGACTATGTAGAAGAAAGGTACAAAATACTGAAAGACAAGACTCTATCAAAGGACTTGTTCATGTGGAATCTTATTGGGTAAGTAAATACTATTTTTAAGATGTGCCTTTTTATAATTTGTTTTGTGAATATGTTCACGCTGCCAGCTTTAATAGATTTAGATGTAACAAATAATGTTTGAGTCAGCAACAGGTTCAGTATGGGTGCTCTGATTTGCACTCTCAGTATAAGATACTTGTTTAGTTTCAAAAAAAATATTTTCCACATAAAATTAATAAAATCATGTCAAAGCATGGATATGGTGTAACAGGCTGCATCTCCAGCAAATGGCACAGAATGACATTAAAATCAGTTTGTGAAACTATAGCCATTTTAAAGCCCACCCTCTTGTTTCCATAGAAAGCATTGTTTTATTTTACATAGTTAAATATGGTCTGCCTGCTGATGGTCATGTGTTTCTGCTAAGAATATTGCAATTAAAGAATAAGCTAAAGTTACACACAGCTACACCACTTGTACATTTCAATCAGTGGTACTTAGAATTTAAAAAAATATACAGGCTGTGCTGCAAACAATGCCCTCTGTGAAAGGCTGACTGTTCTGTGGAATTTCCATTGTCAACATAGGAAAGATGTTTTAGTTTTTAGCACATCTGGATCCAGTCCTGCCATTTTTCACGCAGTTAAGACACCACTTCACTCTCACTAGCATGTGTGTGTACCAGCTAAGGCTCTAGCCCCACAGAAAGCACAGAAAGAGTAATAACCTTTCTGTAATTAATCAGTATTTACTGCCTCCTTGATTTAACGTAACAAAGAATCTTCTTAAGAAAAAAAGTGTTAAATGTTTACCTGATCAGCATCAGCTAGTGAATTGCTGGTTCTGCTTTAATAGAAATCAAAACACTTTATTATGCCAAGATTTTGTACTTTTAGTAGGTGGTATCTCCAGAACAACAATCAGCTCTGATGAATCAAGATTTCCTTTTATCACTCAGAGAAGTCAGACACAGATACAAAATCATCATTACCTAACATGCTAATGCCTCCTTTTACTGTTTGCTTTGAGATATTTTGTCATTTAAAATGCTGTTTCCTGACAGTTCAGGCTGATCTGAGCTGTGATGTTCCAGCTCTTAGCCACATCCCCAGAACCTGCAGCTCATCTTTCCACTGCTGCAGCAGCTGTGTTTGTGCAGCCATGAATTCAATTGTTTCAAGGACATGATTGAGATGAATGCTGTCTCAACCAAAAAAAGTTACTGGTTTTCAGCTGAATTAGCTCCCTGAGCTGGATCACTGTGCAGTCTTTACTGAAGAGGAAGAGAACAGATGGTGGTGACAAGGTAGGAAGCTACTGGATGTCAGCTGTTCCTCAGTAGCTGCCTTCATGCATGCTGTTATCTGTGGGAAGTGCGAAGGAATTTGAGGTAGTTTGTCCTCATATCTGCAGTAAAAGTGTACAGATTAGATTTACCGTGCAGGAACTGATGTGTGGCAGCTTGTTAACCCTGCTGCATGCAACCATGCTCTCACTTCCATCAGATGGCGGGGATTAAACTTTAATGTCTTACTCCCCAGGACAGTGCCCTAATGACTTATTTTAGGCAGGTTAAAACACTCCCCGCTCCTCCCATCACAGCTATATCATTCTACAAAACATTTGTTGCACTGGAAAGTAAGAGAAAGAATTTGACTTTGTTAACTGTTAAGCACTCAACTGGGGGTCAAAGAGAGCTCTGTACTAGCTCTCTGAATTATTGGTCCAATGACCAACTAGATGATTGGTCCGAGGACATCTGATTCACTGTTCATTAAAGTAAAATGCAAAACACTATGGTGAGCACAGAGAACACTGTGAAATGTAGTGGACACTGTGTCCACACAGTGCTCACTACATTTAGTCAGGTTATAAATGTAAAAAAATGCCAGAATCAAACGAGCAGTTTAAGACTTATGTTGTATAGCTCTTACAAGATTTAATGCTATAATTATCTTACTCTCAAACATATATCCAATTCAAATCCCATAAATGCTTAGAACAATTAGACTTGGCCTCCCTGCATTTTACCATCTAACAATGGAAATTGAGGGAGTGGCCATCAAACCTCAGTAGCTAATTCATTGATTATTTTTTTTCCCCTCAAACATCAGTTTAGGCTATTCTGAGTTTACTAGTGTCAGCAACATATCAAGGACAATAATTTTTCTAACCTACAGTTAAATATACTTTACTTTTCAAATATGCACAGTTTATGTGAAGCCAAAAGGAGGCAGATTTAGATTAGATGCAAGGAAGAAGTTCTTTACTATAAGGGTGGTGAGGCACTGGCACAGGCTGCCCCAAGAAGCTGCGGATGCCTCCTCCTTGGAAGTGTTCAAGGACAGGGTGGATGGGGCTTTGGGCAACCTGGTGTGGTGGGAGGTGTCCCTGCCCATGGAAGGGGGTTGGAATTAGGTGATCTTTAATCCTTCCAACCTAAACCATTCTGTGATCCTATTTTAAGCCTCACATGCACCCCACCAAAATGAGCTATTTGAGAGCTATTAAGAGTTTCCTAAGCTGTCAGCTGGTAAGTGAACATGAAACAATCTTTTGACAACTATTGGAATAGCCCTGCCAAGAGAAAATTCTTGAAGCATGAAAGATGTTGTTAACTAGGCTGCGTGTTCTTTGTGTAACAGCCAAAGGTTACTAAAAGTCTATATTTATATCCTTAGCAATTTTATCTGACGGTCTGTTGACCAGACAGCTAGCTGATACTGGTCTTCTCTCCCTACAGAGCTTCACAAGCTCAGGACTGCGTCTTTGATTTTATTATCGTTCCAGTCTATATGACAGCAAAGATATATTTGTCCTTGGATCGCTTATTTCCAGAAAGCTTCTGTAGAGAATATCATTTTCATTTCTGAGTGCACCGATTGCTTTGCCACTAAAGCCACCTGGCAACCTGCCCCTGCCATCCCTGGTGGAGCTGTTATATTTCTGTTTAAAACACCTGCACTGTTTTAATACCTACATTTTATAGCTCGGTGTTAAACTTTGCATACTGACACGTAAATAGTGTGCCTCTTCCTACTCTAAATAAAAATACTTTTGAATACACCCTTTACCACGTTAAATTTGCTATGGACGCAGATCTATCCAGACTGCAGTGTGAAAGCCACTAGATGGCACCAAGTAAGGCTCTTTTAAACGAACTGATTCAAGATTTTTTTTTTTATTAAAAATATTTAACCGCCTACAGATAACTGCACCGGCGGGTGCCTAATTACGACCTTTATTAATTCAAACGTATTTAAAAATCCGAAGATAAGCTCGATGCCTTGCCAGAACCCTCTCAGAAGGCAGCGGGGGGGGGCTCTGGAAGGCGTCGGGCTGCCCCCCTGTGCCAGGGGAGAGGCAGAAACCGATGTTTTGACATTTTCCACGCCGTTTCGGCGTCATCTCCCCCCGAAATGTGTTCTGTGTTTGCTTGCAGCACGACATGAACAGGGACTCAGTGACAGAACGGCCGCAGGGCGGCTGCTCGGCTCCCTGAGGCACAGGGGGGCTGCGAGGCCCGGCACCCGCCCCCCCGCGGGCTTTTGTTCCTCCGGGTGAGTGAACGGGCACCGCCTCAGGAGGCAGGGCAGGGCAGGGCACTGCGCGGCGCCCTCAACCAGGAAGCACCCCGCCGCCCCTTTCCCTCCTCCCGATTGGCTGCGCCTCCCTCACGTGACCGGCCAGCCCGCTCCTCACTGGCTGAGGCGGGGCGGGCGGGGAGGTCGCTTCCGCTTCTGCGCTGCGCGGTACCTCAGGCCGCTTGGTCGGCGGCGGCGGCGGGCCTCTGCCGGTGCGCGCCTCCCCCCTCACGCCTCCTCCGTGCCCCCCCGGTCCCGTCGCGGTTCAGGATGAGCGGCGAGGACGGCAACGAGGAGTTCTACCGGCAGCTGCAGCTCCAGCAGCAGTACGACGCCGAGCGCGGCGGCGGCGAGGGAGAGGGCGAGGGCGAGGCCGCCCCCGACCCCTTCACCTACGTGGACCCGGCCGACGGCGCGGCCTACGAGTGGGACCGCGAGAAGAAGGCCTGGTTCCCCAAGGTGCTGCGGGCCGGGCGGGCACGGCACGGGCAGGGGGCGGGGAGGGCACGGAGAGGTGGGGGGGAGTGCCTGGCTCGTGTGCCCTGCGCTCCCAACCACCTCTTGCCACCCTTTCTTGAGGTTTTGTGCGTCGAAATGCAGTGTACGTGAGGTGCAGGTGGGAAGCGCTCGTTTTGCGGTGTTTCCTTCGAGTATTTTAAATAGAAAAGGTGAAACCGATGCCGCCTCTCATCAGCTTCACGTGGTGAACCAGCCTGATGATCTGCATGTAAATACTCGTGTTACCATACAGCAGTGAGGGGCTGCTACTTCGTTTACAGCTATGAAGGTGCTTTACACCATCTATCAGGGAAATCTGTTGTGCCAATTCGCGTTTGTGACAGTGCATTCACTGCAGTTCAGAGAATCTGAGTGAGAATGAAGCCAGGTTTGTATCTTGTAGCCCTAGTAAGGTGTCCGTGCAGCAGATGGCTCACAGAGGGTTAAAACCATGTGCAAAATCCAGACTCACAACGCAGAACAGCAGAGAACTGAATATTCCTGGCTCGCTGTGGGTTGCTGTATCCAGTAAACACAGAAACTTTTTAAAAAAAACTGTTCTTCCATTCCCAGTGTTCCTTCCTGTTCAAAAATTTGGAAATGTTCAAATACATAATAAAAGTGATTGTAACTTTGTCTATTGACTTTTCTTTCAAAAGTACTGTATCAATAGATGCCACCGTTTTATAGCCCTTTATACACAGAACAAAATCACACGTTGAATTCATCTGCTTTCCTTGCTTACTAAGGAAAAACACGTGGGATTTTCTTCTGTAAGCCTGGAGTATCTGTGTTTCATTTGGTTAATTGATTCCTTTCCACTTCAGAGTAATTAGTAGTTAATTATATGCTAGCATGTCCTGAAGTATTGTGTTTCCTTTCCTATAAGGTTGAGTGAACCAAACTGTACAACAGTGGGTACGGAGATAAATTTTACTACTTGTCCATGATGTCTGCCACCAGAACTAGTTTGAAGTCCTGAGCAAGGAACTCTGTGGGTACTTGTTTTCCATGCAAGCGTGGAGTCACTTAAATTCCAGTAAAAGCCCTTATGCTTGCCTGCATTCCTTAATGCTTGTACAGAGGTGTTTAAAAAATTATGTAGTTGTAATGGTAGAAATGGCGCTCTGATCACATATATTGGAAGTAAAGTCTTTGATGTTGACTGGTAGAATTTGACAGTCCGTAGTAGGTCATATGCTAAGAATAAATTTAACTTTACATAATAAATGGTTCATGTGAAGTTGAAAATGATATTGTTAGAGAGCGGTGGCTAGTTATAGGAGGTTTAATCACAGAGTTACTCGTTTTTGTCAGAGAACCTAATGACAATACTGTTCACCAGAAAGTGTAGAAGCTTTTTAATTCTCTTGATTTCATTAACTGTGAAACTGTGGACTCGCTAAGATTGCTAGTGTCAAACATACTAAATGTTATTGGATCTCAGAGCTTTTTTTCCTCCAGAGTGTGTTTTATTCTTCATTACTTTTGGCGTTAACGTCATGCCATATCTGTAAGAGCAGCCACTTATGGTCCATGGCAAGCCTGTCTCTGTCAACTCTGCATAGCTGATTTGATTTGTCAAAAATAGAAGTTTAGAGTTGAAATATTGAGCTTCAAATCACCGTGGAAGGTATGAGAGCATCATGGTCTCTTGCTACTGTCCATTGTGTCATTCTTACAATAGCATACTGGAATGGAGTTTGTTCCCTTTTGAATGCAGATAAAGCACGTGCAGCACAGGTCAAAGCTTAAGACTAAGCTTTGGGAAAGAATAATTTCAATGTGTGTAACTTAAGAAAGCACTTTCTTGTGCAGTGATGGTAGTAAAATCAGCTACGATATGTTATCGTTTTGCAAGTTACTGTTAGTATCTAGTACTAAAATGTACTTGGCTGACAGCACTGGGTGCAATTTGTAGTTTGTTTTCAGTCTCTAAAGATAGAAATTAGCTAATCTCACCTTTTATCCAAATATTGTCTCTCTCCAGAGAAGACCAAGCTAATTGTTCATAGAATAAAAAGTAAAACATATGGAATGTATTAGTTGAATATAAAGTACAATGTGCAGCCATAAACAACGTGTTAATATCACTGTTCAAGTGCAATATTTATTGTCTATCACCACAAATATATTTCATCTCTGAAAATGTTTCTGTGAAAAGGCAGATGCCTACAAGTGTCCGTCATTCATCATCTGTGGATAAATTGTTGGCTTACCTTCAGTGTCACTTTATCTCTTCAGCGTGGTCAGGAGCTCTTCATTTCTGACCTTCAGGCGGTTCTCATTTAAATTGAAAGCAGAAAGCTTTGCATGATAAAAAGGCAGAACTTGTGAAATGTTTGTTTAAAAACTTCATGTACTGTGTGAAATTAATATGTTAGTTGAGGTCAGGAAATAATTTTTGCTGTCCATATGGCTTTTTACAAAGTTCTTTTAAAAAAGTTTTAAAGTACTGTTATTTTCTATGGTGCTGTATTAGAAAATGACCATCATTAATTAAGGTCATTTGCAGAACATTAACACTAACACACCAGTCTGGATTTGTAGTTCTTCGAACCTTTGTTTTAATTTTCCCAATTTCTTTTTCAGATAACGGAAGATTTTCTGGCAACGTATCATGCTAACTATGGCTTCCATGCAGATGACACGGACAGTTCATCTGCTTCTGGCACAGCAACTGACAGCAAGCTACCAGTAAGTTCTAAGACATCAGATACACAACCATCGGCAAATGAGAAAGGACCAAAACAAACAGATCCAAAGCAAAAATCAGAAAAACGGAAGCTTGAGCCAGGTAAGTGATTGTTTCTTTCCATGTAGGCCTCAATCTGCGTAGTACCAAGTGGAAACTGTCAGTTGTTCAGTGTTACCATGAACAGTAAAGGCATATATCGTTCTGCAAACTTCCAAAACAAATTTTAAATTGTGTGATATTTCATAGGCATCTTTCTAAGACTGTATACGAGGTGGAAAATAAGCAAATTCAAGCATGGTCAGAGGTTTTCCTGTGAATAAGCAAAAACTTCTTAGAAATCTGATGGAATGTGAACATCAGAAGTGCATTGGTGTGTGCTCCCATGTTTAATATATTGATGTAACTGGATTAAAATTCTATTTTTTAGGATGGTTTCATGTTGAAGAGGACAGAAACACAAATGTTTATGTGACCGGTAAGTAACAGCATTTATTTACCTACTTTGACCTAAAAGTGGCAAAAGAGAATTGGACTTGTCTCACTGACTTCTAATATTACATTTTTAGTCTGCCATTTGCAAACTATTTAACGTTGTTTCTGTCCACATAACATCTTTGTGACCTTTATAACTGCATATGTAGAAAAGTAACCTAAAGGACATTCTCCAATCCCTGCAAACTTGTAAGGAATAGGTTAAAGAGAACAAGTTTATAGTTGACACGCTTTGTTTTGTATGCATCACTTGCAATTATCAGTCGCAAAATTACTGAATTTGTGGGTAGAGAAAACGGTTGTTCATAAGGCTTTTTCTATGTTGCTTAGAGGTGTAGTGGGACTTAAAACTTGGTCAGGATAGCAGCATTCATGTAGATCGCTGTGAGCACTTGGAAGGTTGGTATTATCTGTAACAGGAATACTCTAGGTCTGTATATTGGGGAGCACAACAATATCACTATGTTAAACCTATTTAGAAGTAAAAATGTTCTCAAAATATTGGTATGAAGTAATATTTAAAAGGTAATAACAAAAAGTTCCAAGGGCTGTGATTTATTATTTTATATGTAGACATTTTCCAAGTCTCCTATCTTTCATTTTAAGAAACACTGGTTTTTCTGCTCTAGTGAGATACGAAAAAAAATAATAATAATTGAACCAACTAAACATACTTAACCTTCTGTTTTAACATACTTTGTAGGTTTACCACCAGACATTACAAAAGATGAATTTGTACAAGTCATGTCAAAATGTGGTATCATTATGCGAGATCCTCAGACAGAAGAACACAAAATCAAACTTTACAAAGATAAGGAAGGAAATCTCAAAGGAGACGGCCTGTGTTGCTATCTAAAGGTCAGTGGTGCAATGAAATGGGGTATTCCTTTCTGGTAAAGATCCTTTTGGCCACTGCCTCAGAATCATGTTAAGAAGATTCTTAATGTATCTGAAGTACAGCTCAGAACATGGGTGTCTGTTTTAAGCAGGTATGTGGGCAGTTCTGGAATCACTGTCTGTGTACCTCATTTGTTTTTCCTTTACCCAGTCCCCCCCCTACTGAAAATATCCATTAATACCTGCCGAAGATGTCTAAAAAGGTTCCTATCTTAGGTGCCAGCAATTATGGTGTGGAATGGGAGACCTCTTCACATTTTACTTAGGAAAAAAAATACACTTCTGTGTGGCCAAAAACATAGAAATAATGAGATGGAAAGGAGCATATACTGTAGCTGTGTGTTCATAGCTTTTAATTGAGACCTGCTTTAAGTTCAGACTTTGATTTTAGAACTGTTCTTGTTCTCAATAAAACAGATAAATCTGGTTAATCTATAAAAGTTAGTGTTCCAGTAGTATTTCCTTCAGTGTGTTTCACTTGTGGATCATTTGGCAAGTTAGTGTACACTAGTGCAATCTGCTTTAACTCTGCATGAAGCAACGGGTAGTACTAATTCAGCTGTCTTGCATTCTATATTCTAGCTATAATTTTAGAAGTTAGGGCTGCTTAGCGCACAAGTATAAAGACAGTCTCCCCTCTGAAGAACTTCTTGGAAAAATTTTTAAATGGCTTAAGAGTGTTAACTGTCTGCTGTTGTAGGAGAAAACAGAAAATAAATCAACCATCTGATTTTTTTTTTTTTTATTCCTTTAAGTTCACCAGCTTGTGCATTGCAGACTAGTTCTTATGATCAACTTGGTTGAAATGTAAGCAATTGCTTTTGGGAGCATTAATCTGCTAAAACAATGGTAAAGAAATACTGGTTTTATTTTGATAGTAATAAAAGAACCACATGGCCAACTGTGTGTGTTTCTGTGAAGTTTTTTTAGTTGAGACTCAGAGGAGATCGAGCCTTATGGCTGGGAAGTGTCAGGGAATTAATTTGTAGCAGAATAATAATTAAATCTTACTGGAATAATTTGACTGCGCTGTTGTTTTTTTTTTGTTTTTGTTTTTCTGTTTTTTAAAGCTTGTGCTCTGTTTTGTCTTCACACAGAGAGAATCAGTTCAACTTGCTTTGAGACTTCTGGATGAGGCAGAAGTTAGAGGCTATAAATTGCATGTTGAAGTTGCAAAGTTCCAACTGAAGGGGGAGTATGATGCAAGCAAAAAGAAGAAGAAATGTAAAGACTACAAGAAGAAATTGTCTCAACAGCAAAAGTTTGTATTTTTTTTTCTTTCAGTAGAATATTGCTTGAATTCTAAGTGCTATTAGTAAGATGTTGCTTCTAGTTGAAATTCTAAGAGTTGCACAAAAGCCAGAGTCTGAGAGAGAAATAGTGGAAATAATACATGTTTGGAGGGGAGGAGCTTCTAAGTTAACTGTTGACATAATGAACTTCTTCACAACTGCCAAATTAAGAATCTTCACTCCCTATGTAATATTCTTGCAGTTAGAGAAGAAAATATTACAACTTGAGGGAGTTAAGACTTTTTCCCCCATTGTGTGAGAATGCCTGAATTCTGTCATATTTAAGTTTACTTGCATAAGGTGGTAACGCCCTAGGTGTCTATGTACTGTTTGTACCATACTTTACTTTCTACAAATGGCAAGGGATGCTGTCTTTCTTAGGAGCAAATATCAAAAGTATCTCTGTAGATTTCCCCAGACATCTGACTTTTGGTATGTGATATTTTGTTGTGTTTTTTAAATTATATATGCATATATTGTTTTTAACTTTTAATAATTGATTTTTTGCATTTTGGAGGAAGATGAAGATTAAAAAGAAGAAAAAGTTTGTATAGGACTATCATTTTAATGAAAGCAACATTCCACTCAACGTTTTAAATAATAATGCAGATATACTTTGCCGTAGCTAAAGAGATCAAAGTCTAAGAGTTGAAATAGCTTGAAATGTATCTGCCTCAAAGATACACTGCTAGTTCTTTTTTTAAGAAGTCTTTAGTGTGGAGGGGGGTAAAGTGTGAAAATAATGGAATTGCATTTGACATCAATTTGTGTGAATAAGAAATTGTGCTTTTCTCTAAGTCATTTAGCTGTTTTCAACCTGTCTTATACAAATTGACTTCAGTTGGTGTTCCTTTTGAGTTGAAGAGCATAATTTACTTTCAAACTACCTTGATGGGGAATCCAGGTTTTCTTCAACTGAAGTAGCAGATACAAAGAGGAGTTTAAACAAGATTTTTTTTCCCTTAAATCTAAGATTTTGAGATTTAGAAGTGTAAATGAATTTGTCCCTTTTTATTTTGTTACAGGATATGAAGTAGACTTCTCTCCAAGAAGTATCATTTTTATGAGACAGCAAAGTCCTAGGACAGATAACCTGAATTGCGTTGCTAGTTTGTGGCAGTGGCTCTGTACACTGTGATTGTAGCAATCTTTGTAAGACCCAAGGTGTTCTTGCGTGTTTGTATAAACATAAGCAGTAAAATTTTACCAAAGGGAACAGTGGATTTCCTTTTACAAAATAAATCTTCATTTAGAAGGGTTATTAGAATGTTGACACTTATTGTATTTGGCAGCAGCTGGTTAATCTAAATTGATGAGGGAGGAATTGAAACTTGGAAGATTTTTCACTGTTTAGAAAAATGCTTCAATTGTTAAAGTAGCTTTTATTTCTGTGAGCGTTTAAGTACTTGAAAACCTCAACTACTTTGTAGTAGAAATGTTAATTTTATTTTGATTGCATTTTTAAGAGTAATTTAAATCTGTCAAAATGTGTTTTAGTTGATGTATTGCAAGAAATAAAAAATTAATGATTTTTTTTCAACAAATACTTGTAGAAACAGAAGAGAGCCGCAACAATATCTTCTTACTGTTGCTTCATTTCATTAGACAGCTGGATTGGAGGCCTGAGAAGAAAGATGGTGCAGCTCGAATGCGACATGAACGCATCGTTATTATCAGGAATATGTTTCACCCAAAGGACTTTGAGGTAGGAAGATGCAATTTGCTACTATAGATTATATGCTATTATAGGTAACATCGAACTTCCTGCCAAGAGTCCAGAGTAACTCTTAAAGTGGAGAAGCTAGCACAAAATAACCTTAATAAGTAGTTTATTTTGAATAAATTTACTCAAGTGAGGGCTGTCAACTCCATGTAGCTTTGAAAATACAGCGTAACACTTGATATGTGAACTCCTAATAGATTGGCAGATGTATTCCATTGCTGGTTAAGCAAAGAATGTTTAATGTGTGATTGCATTGCAGGAGGATCCCTTAGTGCTAAATGAGATCAGAGAAGATCTACGGACAGAGTGTGAGAAGTTTGGTCAAGTAAAGAAGGTTCTCATATTTGATGTAGGTATTTTTACATGTTGTGTCAGTAGATCTGATGTAGTCTGGAAGTGTGCAAAATAGGATTCTTTAAATATGAGAGAAGCATTTCTTTTCTTGGATTTATTTGATAGAAACCTGACCTAATCTTTCAGTATTTTAAAACTAGCTGTTTCAGAAATTAATTTTGAAGCACTTGTCTACTTTAGCCTATGTAAAGATAAAATCCTAACTTCTTAGGAACTTGGATACATGCCGCGAGTCTGAAGTCTATCAATAAATTTCTTTATAGCTAAACTAGCTGAAATGTTTTGTCTTCTGTGTTCAAAAATTCTGCTCTATGTGACAAAAAAAAAAAAAGTAGTCTTAAGCAGTAGAATAAAACATGTAAAACTACAACTTATTTTTCAAAAAAGATTATTGTCAGGATGGAGCTATATCCTGACGGATTTTGTAAGGCAAGCTAAAAGATGATGGAATAGTTATGCTATTTAGAATACTGTTAAATAAAACTTGTCTCCCCTTACAGCGACATCCCGATGGTGTGGCTTCTGTGTCCTTTAAAGAAGCAACAGAAGCTGATCTGTGCAAACTAACTCTAAATGGAAGGTGGTTTGGTGGCCGTCAGCTCAGTGCTGAAACGTGGGATGGTGTAACAGATTATCAGGTAGTCTTTCATGGTTCTACTTTGCTAAATTCTCCCTCTGAACTGTAAATGTGTTCATTTGAGAAGTGCTTGGTGACCCCCTTCCCACACCCCTCCATTTCCTCCCTTGTCCCATCTTGCTTCTCCACAAAAACTACTAGGATGCCTTCAGAAGGACAGGATTATACTTAATTACTGAATTCAGGAAAAAAAAAAAAAGGACCTGTTTCATCTTAAAAACTGGGCATTAGATATGTAAACATAGAGGATTGGTTACTGGATATAAATATTATCAGTTTGCAGTCAAACAAGTCCTATTGAAGTCTTGAGGTATTATTGCAATATAAATGTTCATATAACTTCTATCTGTGTAAATGTGTTCTCTCTACAAGCATGATATTGTAGTGACTTGTATAAATGTATCTTTAATAGGTGGAGGAGACTGCAAGAGAAAGGGAAGAAAGGCTGAAGGTGTGGGGATCATTTCTAGAGGATCCTGATGCAAAGGAGCAGCAAACTACGTCTAATTCAGATTCCGCAACAAGTAGTGTTAAAATGCCTGAAGGCAGACAACCTTCAAAAGTTAATGACACATCTAAGGAGGATGTAAATGATGAAGCCCATAAGAGGGAGAATAATGGTGAGGGCATTAATGAAGATGGTGCTCCATCCACAGACAGCAGCCTCGCAGGCAGTGATGCTGAAGCAGATACATAACATTTTCAATGCTTTATGAAAGCATGGTTTTTAGGGTGATGTTTGAGTTTATCCCTTTCTTCAGGGTGACTGCAGACAATGTTCATATGATATGCATTACTAGAATGTCATCAACTGTGTGCTTTGAAGTTTTCATTAAAAGCAGTATTTAATGAAGGTTCTAAACGTTTGTATTAATTGGCTGTTCAGGTAAAGTAACTCAAGTTGCCAAGAATACAGCAGAACTCATCAGGCTTTTGTTCTATCTATGCTTGTCTGTGTTTCATTACATAAGTGTAAAATATGTTCCAACACTAAAGTTTATGTAACTAAATAGAACTTAAGTAATGCAAAGCTATTACAAGATTTGTGGATTTTGCCATTAATTTTCCTGTAGCCCTCAAAACTTGGTATCATCCTTAAAATTACTCTTGTCCTGAGTACTTTTGATCATTTTATGGAACAGATGCTGTGATACGTATAGGGCGAATGCATTGGATATGTTGGTATACATCAAGTAGCAAATAATAGAATAATAAGTTGCAAATTTTAAAGTTAAATAGAAAACAAACAAGATTTCTATAGCTAACATAACAGAACTGAGTAAAGATAGATGGTTAAATCACAGCATTGAGTAAATTATTTTTCTTATTCTCCTGTTTAAAACTTTATTGATGTTTAGATCTTCTTTTGAGGCTGGAATTGTGTCAAGGAGACTATAAATGCATGAGCAAACACTCTAGCCTATAATGAAAGAAGACTGATCTTAAACTTACGGTCTGTATGCAGTAGACATGCTTTTGATGGTTTGACTTTTTTTTTAGCGTTAGAATAAGGGTTTTTGTTTAACTTAATTAGGATGGTGAGTGTGAGTTCTCTTCAACGTTTTGGTTTAGCCTTGATGTGCCCTTCAACGGGTAGTGGGGAGATCTCCCGTATTCCATAAAACCTAAAGGCTTTTGGCAACTTGAACTACATTTTGTTGTGTAAATGTTAGAATACTTGAACACATGCTTTAAAAGAATATTACTCTTTTCTATGGGGAGAAAAATCAAAAGCTAGCCATATATCGCTAGCTCTCTTAGAAATATTTCCCAGAACAAAGATTTAGAAGACGTTCTAGCTTCAGAAAAACAGGCTTTTGAAAATAACTCTGGGGGAGTTCTTTTGGGCATGGTCATTCTTCATTTATAATCCCATTATTTTGATACCTAAGGATATAAGAGTAAAGATTTATGGAATTGTTTATAATATTGGTGCTAAATTCGTAGCACATTGTTCATATGGATGGCTGTTAGTGCATATTTGTAAGGAGGATCTTTTAATTTTTTTTTAATTCATATTGGATTGTGAGAAACCATAGATGCTAATTCTTGGGTATATTTCAATCCTGAAGTATTCAGAATACTCTGAAAGTTGGTATTTTCAAACTGTGCTCTGAGATCGCCATCTATATTTTTTCTAGTGGTCTATCTCATAGACCATAGGTCTATCTCATACTCTTTTTTTTTTTTGTAATCAGTGTATTTGGGTAGTTATGGCAACCAGAGCATCTAAGTTAACACTTGTCATTGTGGTTATAAATTACATCCTTTTGTGACAAAATACATCGTTTTACAACAAGCATATTTGAATTCTAGGTTTAAAACTCTGGGGGCTAATTGACTTGGCATGACAAAATTCCAATTTTAATGAGCTGTATTGTAAAGGAGAACTCTTAATGCTTGCTGTCTAAGTAGGACCACTTTCTCATCTTTACAAGAGTGTGAATTGTACATTTAAGCAAAGCAAGTGTTTGAACAGTTCAGGGAATCTGAAATACTACTTGGTTTGTAGCTGTATGTGGTGGCATATTCAGATTACATCTCCTGGGTTGTTTGTTCTGCCTGGGATTTTTATTGGTAAACAACACCACAGACCTCTGAGGGCACAGAAAGAGCTTTGGCACAAAAAGAATGTAAATTAATGTGGTGAGTACTGCTTTCAGTGCTCCTTTTTTCTTCCAGCTTCTAGACTCAAAGTTTTAGATCTGTAAAACTATTGTGTTCTGTTAGCTTTTTTTTTTTTTAAGAGAGCCTGGTCATGCAACACTCTACACAGTTAAATCACCTGTTTTACAGTGGAATTGCTATTGATATAGGGAAGTTATTTGACAAATGTTATAAATATTGTACAGTTCTATGAAGCCTTATCATGGTATCAAATATGAAAAATAAGGTTAGTATTAGTGTTTGGAAAAAGACTTGAAAAATAAAGAATCATTGCTTGTGCAGTCATCTTCCTCTCTCTGATGTACAAATTTGATTGGCTTGTTTCAAAAGTAAAATGTGATGTTAGGTGCTTCACCTTTTCCTTTAGGCTTCATGCTGAAGTAGAGCACTGACAAAGACTGAGACTAAATGCTTTACTGGCTTTCCTATTAACTAGGATTCTTAAGAAAATAAAAGCTGTTTTTCCACAAAAATGTTGTTCTGAAGTGACGTTACACTCAAATTGGTATTTTCTTTTTGTCTACCTCTGTTATTCCCTAGTAAAGTGTAAAAATATATTTTTATAAACTATTCATTGAATTACCAAGGCATTTAATGGCTTATGGAGAGGTTAATGGAGCCATGACTTTCTTTTCAGCATTGAGATCGAATTCTTCTGATTTCCTTTTCTAAATGATGCAAGCTTTTATAAATTAATCTGAACATAAATTACGTTTTTCACAGAAGTTAAAATTACTATTTTTAAAGTAAGATTATAAAAATTTTCATAGTGTAGAGCAATATTGTTTAGTACCAAATTTTAACTAATTGGAAGCTGAACAAGCTGAGTTGCTTTTAATTTTTTCTCTGAGCATTATCATAAATAGATAAGTAAAGGGTTAAAACCCCAATCCAGTTCTCACTGTATTTTTTTTCTTAAATAAAAAATTCACTAAAATGGATCTTTCCTGAGAATGCAGGGTTGACTTTATAATCTGTTTTGCTCATCAGTAGCAACAAAATCAAACTTTTTGCTCAGTTTCTAATTGCCCTTGGGTTCTGTTCCAGTGTACTGCATGTTTCTTCATCCCTAGCCTTTTAGGGAGAGGTTCATCTTAAGAAAAAGTTGTCTCTTCCTCTCAATATTTTATGAAAACAATAACTAGCAGCAGGTTGAAACACTTTGCGGATAATTGTTGCTCAGTTTTGGACTAAACAAATGTTTCTTCTAATTCGCATGGTGTGACAAATTGGATGTGAAGCAAATTTAAATCCAACGACAGGGAAAGAATATCAACTAATGGTTACTGCCATATAATTCAGCATAGGTGATCACTTTCCTAACCATGTAGTACAAAATCAGTTGCTTAGATTCAAGACATATTGTGGTTTGCTTTACAATCAAAACACTATTTAGTGGTTTGCTGGCAAGGTAATTGTATGGAATTAAAAGTATTCATCAGAGATTGTGTTTGAGGAGCGTGGCCAAGGTAGACATCTAGAAACAAAAAGCCCCAAAAGAACAGGCATGGAAGTTGCAGCAGGTTCTCGAATGTGCATATGCAGCTGTAAAGAGAGTTAGTTTCATTTTGCATCAAAATGTTTATCTGTTTCTCCTGCTGACTTTTTTATTGCTTTTTTTAATTGAATTTCAGTCCTTCATACAACTTACACTTTGTATAGGGATTGCAATTCATTTAAAATCATTAGTATGTTAAATGCAGTGCATTTTAACTAAACCATGTCCTAGTCATTATTCAGTTAAGGTTAATCTAGTCACAATTTCAAGTTTATTTAGCTTAACTCACTTAAAGGTCTTGGATGCTTCATAGAAACCCAGACCTGCCTTTAAACTTTCCAGTAAAAATCAATATCATTACCCTGAATTCTTGAACTGTATAACCTAACAGAATTCTTTAAAAGAAAAAAAAAGGGGAGAGGATAAGATACCTATAGGTTTTAATTGGATTTTTAAATCTCTGATTTGAGGAAACATACTGCAATATAACTATGTAAGTTGTGTACTTGTGTTGATTTGGCTTGTGTGTATTTCAGTGCTCATTATACAGGGCTTGAAGTCTTACTGTCATGATACTCTTGAAAGTTCTGTAAAATATTTAGAGAAGTATGGAATCTTTTGCAGCAGATTGTTTTTTTTTTTTTTTGCTCATTCTGTAATATCAAAGTATATTGTTAGATTAAAATTCAATAAGTTGACATGGAATTTTTCTGAAAGGTTATTTTCTTTTGATAAGTTAAATTGATCATCTTCAGTTACCTTCTAGAAAAAAGTCATTTCAAAATACTATATTTGAAAAATTTCTAGACCTGTGAAAGCATCTGAAAATCCCTTGATTTGTCTTCAATTTTGTTTCTTAAAGGGGTTGTGTTTTATACTACCTTTTTAATAAACAAACTCATGAACAAAGTCTTTCCTTATGAGTTCTGAGAGAATGTATTTCTTTTGTTTTTTCCTTGGTAAAAAAAGGACCATATCGTTTGGTGGGCAGTGATTTCAGTTCATAAAGCATGTGTGTTAACATGCCAGAGCTTTTGAACTGGAGTCGAGCATAGATGTTGCTAGAGTTGCTAATGCTTACACTGGGTCACATTTTTTCTTCCTTCTTTGTGGGTTTTGCCCCAGACTTCATCCTGCTTTGATGCATTATGGACCTTGCTTGAAGATAGAATGATCAGGAGGAATAACTGCAGAAACCACAGAGCTGTAATTGAGATATTTTTTTTTCTGGAGTGTATGTCCATGGTCATGTCCCAACCTCCCTCCCACCCCAAGTTAGGACAACCAGATTTATTTTAATTATTATCACAAATCAAAACTGTTATTTTGTTGAAAGCTTGACATTCTGAATGCTAAAACCAAGCACATTGGTAATCTGTTGTCTCAGTTCATACACTGGAAAGAAACAGGGATAGCAATCTCATTTTTACATGACCGTTTTTCAGGGTGTTTGCTGAGGGGCTATAAATTGATGCCATCTAACACCAATATGCTTTAACTACAAACCTCAGAGGAAGTTCATGAGCAACGTCTAAAAAAGCTTTAGCAGAAATGATCTCTGCAATATAAAACTGAATTTAGAAAGGTGGATCCAAGAGTGATTCAGATGTTGAGGGCACTGGCCCTGCTGATACACTGGAAATCCAGCCTGTCTCGTGGTTGAAATTTGTTTACGTGAAGAGTGTGTCAACCAAAAGACTTAAGCACAGTCCTGGAAAATCTTACTGGCTGATAGTTAACTTGTTCTGGGAGATGTATGAATCCGTTCTGTGCCGTGTTTCTACAGAGGGAATTGTCTTGCGCTGCCCTACTTTCTGCCTAGGTGAGTAAACAAACTCCTAAGCCACTGAATAAAAGACAGAAGGTATTGTCACCAGTCTGGTGACTAGTTCACCAGTGTATTTTTCTAGCTGACACTGGTGAATTTGACCTTGATGCAACATTTTTGGAATGGCAGCAATTTGGTAATTTTGGTACCATGAAAACAACAGACAGAACAAACCCACTGGTTTCTTGCTACAGCACTTACAGAACAAGATTGATATTTTCATTTTCTGAAGATTTCTGTAGTCATTTAAAGAGATCCATAAATAAATAAACCACAGTTGGTTAGCCAGCTTATCTGGAATGGAGATGGATGATCTCCTTGCAGACATTTCTAGTGAAACACTTAATGCTGAATGTGATATAACCTGTAACAGGAAAGTCCTTTCTGACCCTGGCCAAGCAAGCAGCTTGGCTCTTTACTATAACTTGTTTATCACTTTATTCTAAACTCTTCTGAGGTCCAGACACTGTCGTCTTGATTGTGTACATTGTCATGAAAAAAGCCCTGCTTACAATCCTATTTTCCTCATTCCTGAAACCTCCTAACCTGGTTGACTTGTTGGAGTGCATTTCATGCATTCTTAGTAGATAGGCTGAGGGAAACGCCTAGTTCAGTCACAGCTAGAGGCTAGAAAGCATGTAGGGAGTTCATGAACGTTGCTTGTCTCCTCCTGCAGTCGCTGCCTGTGTATATAGCTGTACAGGGGAAGGATCACAAGCTGCTGGACACAGTATGACCACCCTGCAAGGAGAAAATCTTACCGGTGTGCCAGAGCTCGTGACAGTGAGTTAAGGTATGAGAATTTAATGATAACTTCAATGCAGGTTCACTGGCTTTCTCAAATGCCCCTTTATTTGAAAGACACTTAATGAAGGAGAATGTTTGCTTGCTGAATTACTGCTCAGCACTTGGAAAGGGGGAAATTTTTTTTGTTCTTATTTTTAAGACTGATTCAGGCAGTGTGAAATAGCGAAGAGTTCCCTATCTGAAGCTATAGTGATGGGAAATCAGTAGCACAGACACGGGCTGGAAATGTGAGAAACAAAGTGCTGTCACTTGCGGTGAGCAGTCAACAACCACATCTCTTTAAGCCTGTTTACCATGTAGCCTTGTCTGCTGAAGAGCGAATAACTTGGACAATTACCTGCACTGTTTTGCCATAATCCGCTCATTCTGAGAGCAACATGAGGCTCGCTGAGTCTGTTAATCCTGAGCTCCACTTCTACTATATTTTGGCAGCAGTTTGTGGCAAGCAGACTGGAAGGAGTTCTGCCTTTTTTCCAGACTTCCTGCCAGAAGATAGAAGAGCGAGATGTTCAGGTAATGGAGACCACAGTGCTCCAAAACCTAAGTCCTGACTCTCATGGCATTAGACTCCATGTACCCTGAGAGGACTGAGGAAACAGGTTATATCCAGCATTCGTATGACTATTTGTTAGAAAACCCAAAAGATTTTTAAGAGGAACATGAAAGCAAGACTGGTGGTTTATTTCTTTATCAGCCTATTATTTTTCCTAGTGTTGTAACTGTACTGTTGTCTCAGTTCACGCAAGCGTTAACAGCTGCTACATGCCAATAAATGGTGCCAAAGGAGCTTACAATTAATGTCATGAGCAACTTAAACATGTTAATAAAGTGGTATAAAGACACAATGGCTGGCTTGCAGTGCGTGAGGAACAAGAGAAATGGTCCTCTGGGCCACAGCTAATGCCTTGTAAATTGTATGCTGATGTGTAGTTGGAGCAGTGTAAGAGGAGCTGGTTTGCTGCTTGCTGTCGAGATCATCTGATCTTTCCCAACCCTTTCTTGAGCCATATGGTTGCTGATGGCTTTGCCAAACTTTCACCGCTCGGGTTGGAATTTTCCATGGCAAGCATCAGCCTCCAGCTGAGCAGCCAGAAAGTTTCATAAGCTAAATAGTGCACTGCTTTCTGAAACAAGGCTGGAGAAAAGTAGTGCCTGTCCTTGTGCTTAAACTAGCTGTTTGGCTGAGGTGTGCTAGTTCCTGTTCCCCTCATATGCCTTGGGAAGATAGCTGTAAATCAGGAGGAACCTTTTTGGTTTAACTTCACTGCATTTGGGAAAGTTCAGTCAGTATTAAAATTTCTGAAAGATTGTCTTCCCGATCAGATAACTGTTATGGAGTATCTCCTTGCATTTCCTAACTGGTACCAAACCTGTGTATGTCCCATGCTCACCACTGTGTTCAGGTGGACTGGAGGCTGGTGCTGGGGAAAGGATGCAGGAAAGGCAAAGCAGCTGAAATCCTAAAATGAGGACTGAGGAACTCTTGAGTTTTAACACAAATTGGTAGCTGTTGAGAGGGGATTAGGGCAAGCTGTGGGAGGGACCATGATGAGGGGGAGAACTGAACAGAGTATATGGGGGAGGAAGAGTTAACACCCAAAACCAGATGTAAAGCAAACGGTAAATGTGGATGAGAATTCTATAGATGGAGTGCAGGAGTTGGGAGAGTTTAAATGTCTGGGGAGGGGGCAGTGGAGAGGGAGGAAAAAAAAAAAAAGAGGATAAGGGGAAGAAATAAGCTCTGCCTCAGCTTTGGGGGCTGGGTGACTAGATTAAAATGACATATATAATTAAGGATTGGATTGTAAGGATTAGTCATGAAAAGGGGGATGGATTATGGCTGGATAATGTTAATCCCACATTTCCTAATGTCTGAGTACTTGACTTTGCAGCCTGAATGGTCTTTTCATGCGTAAGAAATACAGACAGTTGGAGACAGCCATTGCAGATACTTCAGACACACAGATGAACTCAATGTTTGTTGGGAAACATCTCTGAGGATTGAGAGGGTTTATTAGAAAAGAAATATCATAAATATATAGGAGTGGGCTAATCAATGCTTCCTATTGCAGGGTTAGGCGGATTGAAACACAAATCCGATGATTCTTTAGGTTTTGCATGATTGACCAAAGGTTTCCCTGGTGTCCAAAAAATAGCAGCCTCCTTATTGCTACCAAGGTCAATCAATTATACTATGCCATGTGATGAGCTGACAGTGCGACTGAAAAACTGAATAGAAACAGCAGGCATTTCTCACTGCATTCATAGTATGAGCACTGCTAAATATGATTTTGATTACAGCAGAATTTGCGAGGTCTGGCTATAGAACTAGCTCCCCTGTGGCCAGAAACTGCACAAATGCATAAAAACGAGGCTTTCCCAGTGCAAGCGGAGATGTTCCTTGCCCTACTCTTACCATATCTGGCAGCAAAGATTTTAAGGAGAACAAAAAGGAGTCTTACAGTCTTCTGTTGACTTCCTGCAAATGATTTTAGAGTAATTTCTGCCTTAAATCCTTAATTTCTGGTTGAGCTACAGCATATTTTATCAGTCTTGCTACCCAAGCTTAAAGCAATTGTCAGACCCACTGCATTTCTAGGTAAGTTGTTCCCCAACCCCCGCCAAAAAATATGGTAAATAAGTTTTAAAAGGCTTTTTTTTTTTATTTGAAGTTGAGTGTGTCTGTCTGTCTAACAGGTGAAGCAAACAACTACTCATAAAAATCTTTTCCTTGTGGAGGTGTGCGCTGACAAGTCATCAAGGTACTTTCCCTTATTTTAACTTATTATTTTAAGCTTCAATTAGTCTTTTTTCTCTATTTTTTTTTTTTCACTTTATCAATATACTTTTTGAACAACTCAGAAAACAGAATTGAATGAAGCATTTTGATAAGTTCATCCTGAATGTCATCCACAGCTACTGCTACCTCTGTATTTTTTTTGATTTACTTGTTGGAGTGCTACAGTTCTTTTAGTATCGTTCCATCCTCAGGGTATTTTTGCACAGTACCGTATTCTAGGCCCAGGGTTATAAAGATGAAGGCAGGCTGAGAAACAGCAGCTGGTGGACAGAAGTGTCCACTTTATTCTGCAAGAGAGCCTGTGCTATGGCATTAACCAGTAACTCATACAATGCTGATACCCACTAGGTCCATTTCCTGCTTTCAAGATGTACTATCCCCTAATAACATTATATATTGCATAGTGATATCAAACATAAAGCTCAGCAGCAAAAGATGCTGTTTTGAGTGAGTTAGATAAGTATAACTCAATTTATCTGATTGGGACAAATGCATTTCCATCATGATTCTGAAAAATGTAATGCGTATTTAATGAAAGATTTCTCCTTTTGTTATGTTCCTGAAGTATTTTGCATTAGGAGGATATATTAAGGAAATCAGAAAGAAAAGGTGAGTGACAAGGGCAGAAACCCAGATAAAGGATCTCATTTTACCAGCAGCAGTTCTTCTGGCACTACCAGTTTCAGGAGGAAGATGGGCTCATGCTGGCTGTGCGATGTAAGTTGAATAGTACTTCTTGTACCACTCTATTTTTTTTGGCAGGAGCTGCTCGTTATTGAAAATGGAGGAAACAAGGAAGCTCTCTCCAAAGCCATGTAAAAGCAAAGAACCCGTGAAAACAGAATGGGGGTCTCAGAGTGTCGTGTTTACATATTTCCAAGGGGATATTAACAGCGTGGTAGATGAACATTTTTCTAGAGCTCTAAGCGGTGCCAAGAACCCACAAGACCTGAGCATGAAGCACAAGAGCGAGACTGTTGTCCTGAAGAACGGTGAGCCAGGGTGACTAGCTCTCACTAAGAAATATAAGATGCAATGTGCTGTGTTTTCTCATGCATACCTTGTCGATGAATAATTTGGAACTGTGTGCAAATAGCAGCAAAATCATGCTTTGAAAGCAGTGGTTTATGGAGCAGGGACTTCCTGGATAAATCCCTCTCTTTGCTGGGATACTTCCCAAACTCTGCATGGGCTTGTTGGCAAGACCAGGTCCTCATTTTCCAGCTTCTGTCACTGTCAGATGCAGTAAGTGCGTTATGGCTTAATTTGTTGTCTTTTGCAAAAAGATATTTGTCTAAGCTTGCAAGTGTTAAAACTTGGCCTATGCCAATGGCCTGTAATAAAAAAAAAATGTATAATATTAATTTGAAAGCATAAGTGGTGGTGATTTAGCCTGCTTTTAGTATTAATTGATTATTAATTTTTAAGATAGGCAGCACTAAAACTGAATATATAATTTCAGTAAAAATGAATATGCAGTCTAGGAATGTTTCCTTAGAAATATGTTGGAATTTGCCTTGGGGGGAAAAAAAGCAGGAATTGATGAGACTTCAGATGCTTTCTTTCTCTTTTTAAGTAGATAGCATGTCTCCCCATCAATGGAATTTCTCTTCACATTGCTCCAAACCATATCCTTCATCTTCTGCTACAAGCATGTCAAACTCTGGTCTGAATTTTTCTGCTGCTGGTATGGCAGGCCAGTACCAGCCATCAGCTCTGCGGAGTCATCCAACTCAACCTGCAGATCTGTGGCCCTTCCCTTCGATCGGTACTCCCGCTCTTACCAGTTCGGTGTATCATCATGCCTTGCCTGACCTGCACGTGGTAGATGAACCGATCTCTGACAGGAAATACGGTTCTCTTCTTGGTCTTCTGCAACAGGAAAGGTGCCTAACATCCATGCAAGAATGTACCATGAAGCAACACTCAAGTCCTGCTTGTATGACTGGACCTACTGGATTACAAAATATAAGTCAAAGTTCAGTTCCTGGGGGAGGTAAGGAAATACTATCGCTTTATTCTTTGATGGCAACTTATGCAAAGAGACAAATAACACAGTCTGCCCCAAAAGTGCTAAAATCTGAGACTTCTTCAGCCTGGCTCATAGAAATAGTTTTCAGTAGATAACCATTGCTGAATACTGTGGCACTTCACTTAAGTGAATATAGATATTACCCATATGCTATCAAGATCTCTAGCCTGTAGGTAACAGGCATGGTGGCACTGATGCTCCTGTATTACTAGAAAGGGGTGCCTAGGTAAGAGCCCTGAGCAACTAACTTACTACTCATGGCGTTAATGATGCTGTGAATACGAGATGTGAAATTGCAGCCCTTATCAGAAAGGCCGGGTGTTTTTCTCCCTTCCCTAGTCTCAATCTGTAGCTGGAAAGATGTGGGCAGGGGGGCTGGTGGGCCAGCCTTGCCTCACTTCATGTCTAATGGCTCTCTTCCATGAAGTTGTGCTGCCCTGTGTGTGTGTGAAAGGCTGAGACTACTCTCTGCAGTAGAGTTTCCAATCCTAAAGCAGTTCACACTGGAGTTGCAAAGATTGTTTTATTTATTATTAACAATTAGTAGGAATCACAACCCTGATTTTGTGCATCAGGACTAAAGTCCATTTCCTAGGAGCTTATGTACCTACAGCACCTGGGGCTGCTGAATGACATTGCTCCCTTGTGAATAATTTCTGCATTTGAGACGTTTTCTGTGACCAAGCTTCCTGGCTGGAGCCTGGGTGCTCAGCTAAGGTACAGCTGCATTGCTGCTCCTGGGCGTTCCCGGATGGCAGCTTGGCACTGGCTTCCCAGAAAATGGGTTGTGAAATTGTTTAGGGAGTCTGCTAGAAAAAAACAGCACGTGCTACCTGGTGCTTCTAGATAAAAAGGACCAGGCGTGTGAAGAAGTGATCACGAGCCTTTGGTTTTGAAAAATAACCAGCTGCAAAACACCTACTGGTTACCCAGTTTCTAATCTGCATCAGCAGGAATTTGGCAGGACATGAGCTAAAAGTATTGTTTATATCTGCATGTGGTCTGGTCCGCAGCTCCTCTTTGAGGCTACACCAAAGCTTTGTTGTTATAAGGACCCCAGCTGTAGTTGTGTTGCTAACTTACTCCTACTAGAGTGCCTAATGCATGCCTACCCATGCACAGAAAATGCAAATTTTCTGCTCATGATAGGTACGTATATAGATTTAGCTGAAACTATACGTATGCATTTCACAGGCATGCATACTAGACTTTTTTCAGCTATTAAGGGACAGCCTAATTGCTTTAAAGACTCTGTCTGGGTTTCTAGGACTTCATTTAAGAACACGGGTAGGTGCTCTCTTCCCCAAGGGGGCAATGTGAGCCTACCAAGGTTTGCGAGCCTGAGGAACTGATGCCTCCAAAAAAAAAAATAAAAATGAGATGTTTCATGAAACTCAGGTCAATAAGGGGAAATAGCACAAAAAACGGTCAACTTCAGCTCAATGTTTCAAAAAGGAATTGAGTGAAAAATTAAAAGAAAGGAAATGAAACTGCTTAATGTCCCACAACCACCTGCAATTAAAGTATTTTCTTTAGGCATGTTCGCAAGGCCTTTCTGAATGTTTGGGGAGCCTCATAACACCACCTGTGTAATGCTGTACATGTGCTTATCGAGCAAACCAGAAAGAATAGATAAGCAACTGGCCTGTGCTCACAGGGAGCCTTTGGCAAGTTCCTTGGATGTATGCATCTAGTCTGGCTGTCAGAGTCCCTGTTTCTTGGCTCTGTTAAATATACTCTTCATTGCGCTGTGTCATGTTTAAGAACAGCTGATATTTATATTTATGGAAGTGTATATTTCTGTGCCAGACAGCACAGAGCTCCCCAGCACCTGTGCTATAGGCTGGGCTGCAAAAGCACAAGGTTTCTTTAGGAACTGCTTCCTACTTTTAGCTCTGCTGAATCTCAGCTCATCTCCAGTATTTTTCTTTTCTTCTTTTAAGACAGGAAAGCAAACTCTTACCAGGGCTCAGAAAATCCCAGTACAAGTGCAAGCCATGCCACTGCAGGTGAGTAATGAAGCTAGCAGGTTTGGAACAAATTAATGCTCACTTGTAAAGGATAGTTGCCTTTCTTATGCACAAAGGATTAAAGCTGGTTTTGTCTGCTTCCATACTGCATTTCAAAATTTGCCTTTCCCCCAGAGATACTACCTCGTATAATTACATTAACCAGAAAGAGGGAAAACATTCTGTTAAAATGAGATGAAGTTAGAAAAATCACATCTACCTTAGTTTTTGTTGTTGTAGCATCAGACTGCCACTTCACAACATGCCTATTTTTCACTACCTGTCCAAGTTTCAAATCCCAGAAAGATGCCAAATGTAAGGTGGTGGATTTGTCATAATCTTAGCTGAAGAAATGTACTGTCTTCCCTGCTTGTGAGGCACAGTTTACGCTACATCTTTCTGTAGGACTTATGTTTATTGTGTGTCTCTAGGGGTGTTGAGGTGTAGCTGTGGAGTTTGTGGCTTTGCAGCAGACTGCTCTTTGCTTTGTTTCTCAAGCATCCAGCTTCATGCTGTGCTCCCTGTTTGACCTGTGTGCTAGCTCTGGTCCCTTTTTCACCAGCAAACCTACAACACTGCTAGGAGGGTAGTTCTACAAAATTATTCCCAAAGTATTTGGGCTTCTGTGTTCTTTGGTCTGTATCCTGCATCTGGGAGGTTACCCTGATGCTCATTCTTTGATGTGCAATGTTTTGGGGAGACCTTGGATGGGTCATTCTGGTTATTCTAGTAAGTGCCCTCTTGCATCAGAGAAGACCAAAAGGTGCAATTTTGTTTGCACAACAACCTAAGGGTTTGCATGGACTATGCTGTTCGACAGTCCTGATAATGCTATGTCTTTCAGGTATTCAGATTCATGACAGAAGACGGGATTTGTACTTCTAGCAACAGGATGTTTCTACTTTATTCTGACAGAGAAAGTTCTTGCCATGAACTTTTATTATTTGCAACTGTGAATCAAGAAGAAATGAACTGCAGCTATGCCATGCTTTTTCTTTCAGATGGAAGAATACACATACTATTTACTATTTTAAGAATGAAAAATCTTTCTCTATTCAGTAAATAATTTCTGATGGTTGTGGTATTGAACCTAACAGACTGTTTGTTGTGAAGAAATGTCTACTTACGGCTTTTTACACTTAAACCTCTCTAAAAGGACTTTCAGCACTTTTTATTCATTCTTGATAAGAAGCACAATTCTATCTTCGAGGGATGCAATTAATATAAATTCATTGCTGCAACTTCTTATCTTGATTTGATATCTCCATATTGTTTAAAATAGTATTAGACTGTGGGCTCCCTTTGCAAGACTTCAAGACAACCACAGGCCACCAGAGAAGTACATTACTGCACTTCCCAAAATATAAATATGATAATTTGTGGCTATGCATGCAATTCACGGGGACATTCTTCAGAAACTACATAATAAGCATATTCATGAAGGCTCTGTTTTGCCCTCATAATGTATAATTTTCTGGAAAACAATAATTTAACTGTAGATCTGGAAAGAAATCTAGAAATCATTGGATGTGATTAAAATCCTACTATGAGCAAAAAGCTGGAGCTGGGAATGTTTTATTTTCCCAGCCTCTCTGCAGGTAAAAAGGAACTCTTTTTCTAAATAAATTGTGTGATTGATTTTTTTTTTAAAATAATTATACCGCAGGGCTCAGCCATCTGAACAAGGTGATTTTTAATATTTTCTTTCTCTCTTTTTTTTTTTTTTTTTTTTTTTTTACAATTTACAGAATTGCCTTTCTTCTTTTTTAACTTTACTAATACATTTCCAATTAGTTCTTCTGTTATTACATCCACCTTTCCCAGTTTTTTAAGGCTACATGGTAAAATAATTAGGCTTCCTCTACGAGTCAAAGCAAAGATTTCTGCACTGTACTCTCTACATCTCCTTTGCCAATTTGTGTTGTAATTCCATTTAAGTTATTTCTTTAAAATTTTTGTCTGCCTCTGCCATCCCCCCTAAAAGAAAATGCTGAAATGATTTATCCCTAAGGTCTGTAAAGACATATAATGATATATTTAAATGCCTTTAAAGTTTAATGCTTCTTGAAACAATTTGGTTCTGTGCATGTCACAGGTAAAAATATTCAAGATGGACTATTAAGTCGGTATTTCTAGTGAGCCAACCACCTAGAGCTGGACAAAGTGTGTGTGGAGGGAGTTGGGGGTGGAAATGTTTTTTTAAATGCATGTCTCTTATTGCAAAGACATGAGACATCAGTGGTTCTGCCTTGACACTAGAATGCTTCAAGCTATTGCTGCAATGCCTGGAAATGTTGTCGTCCTGCCCCTGTGCAGCAGACCTGGCAAAAGAGAGCAAGTGCCTGGCCAGCTTGAGGGTATCTTATTTATAAAAAGCCTACAATATATATTATTTCTTCCTCGACAATATTGTTTGTCCAGAATGTACTGTTTCTTGCTTTTCTGCTCAGCCTTGTGATGTGTCCCTGATGCTCTCACACTGCTGTTATGCTCTGATGACAGCATCTTCATTCCCATTCAGAATGGGTGCTCTTTTGCTCAGAAGGGCTTGGCAAGCAGCGCCCTGCATTCAGCAGCTACCATCTGGCGCTTCCCACGTTTATTTTCGGTTCCCACTCTGAATGCAGCAATCACTGTGGTGACGGGAGGAGAAGGGATGCTTGGTCTGTGCCCATTTCAGCAGCTTCCGCCTCCCTGCATGCTCATGCATCTCTGCAGAGACTGCTCCAAAGGACAGAAGGACAAATGTGGCCTGGGCATTACATTTTCTGGTAATTTACTGACCCTGTAGGAAACAGCTATTTGCCTTCACTTGGGTAGTGTGTAAGCTCACAGCATTCTGCTCCAGCCCAAGATTATTTTCTTTGAATGGATGGCTTTCCTCCCGTCTTTTTGTGATGACTGGGGCAGCTGAGATGTGAACTATGTGCTCTGTGAGTATGAACACTGAGAGAAATCATCTATCTCTTGCAAGTATGCAAGTATATTTGATACACATATCCTGTGGGGAGTATGGGCTTTTTTTTTTTTTAATAAGCCAGCAGAAATGTTGCACCTTTTAACCATGCATGTGCCTGGACACAGACATTTGCAGGGACAGGTGGCCACATTCCAGCTCCTGCTCTGATGGTCAGATAAACTTTGTGGGTGGCTGGGAGCAGCGTGACTGGCTTAGCTGCTCCACCCTGCTTTAGTCACTTGTGAGCAGCGTTAAAAATAGTCACGGACTGTGGTGACAAACAGGAACAATTCTTTCACTATTAAAGAAAAAACTGAAGGATAAAAAAAAAAAAAAAGAAAGAAAGAAAAATAAGGCAGGAATGCTACCAGGTGACTTGGCCACAGCCCTCTTATTGATTATAAAGCTCTCCACTGAGCAGCCCTCCTCCTGTTGAGCAGGAGTCTTGAGGGAAGGACAAGCTCTGGCCAGAGCAGGCCTGGCATGTCTCACACCTTTAGACAGCTATGGTGCTTCAAAGGTCAGGAAATGAGTGGTTTTTATTTTTTTTATTAAGAAAAAACATCTCCAAGCATCGAAGAAAACAAGCAGTTTTGGGAAGAGAACAGTGAATTTATGGCATCCTCCCTCCCCCAGCATGGAGAGAGAAAGCAAGGGTAGGAAAACATGCCAGCTCCTTGTTCAGGGGTAGGTGAGCTCCTGTGCCCAGAAGCTACCAGGAAAATGGCGGCTGAGCCGAACCCTGTGTGTGGCGCTCTGAAGGGCTGCCTCCTCTTGTGCCATTTCCAAGTGATCCAGAGAGCTCTCCCCTGCCTTCTCCTCTATCTTGGAGGGTTTCAGCAGGGAAGCGGTGCAGGCTGGTGGTTTTAGTGCCTCAGGGGCTGAGTGTTCCCTGTTTTGGTATCACATGCCGTTTCGGAGGGCTGTGTGTCACCTCAGTGACAGTGCTGCTGTGCAAGCAGCTCGGCTGTGGTCGCATCATCCAGATATCGTGGTTTCTTTGCTGAAGAGGTGCAAAGGTGCAATTGTGGGGGGTGGCAGCAATGTGGGGCCCTGCTGCTCCTGGGGCTTTTGCATGGCTGCAGCTGGGGCAGACCTGGCTGGCTGGAGCTGGATAAGAGCCAGCTGAGATGTGGCGGTCCCCAAAGCATGGCATGAAGAGAGCACCCCATCCCTGCTGAGCCACTGCAGCTCCTGCTGCATTGCTTGTCAGCAGCCACAGTGCCCCTCAGTGTACCAGCTTCCTGCAGTAGTGCTGTCCCCAAGCTGACCTGAGGTCTTTGAGCTGTCTCCATGTGGTCAGGTTCCATCACTCCAGGGGTTTTTTGGGTCCTAGGGCACAGGAGAAGTGGTGCAGACCTGTCCTGGTTGTGCAGAAGAGCACCCAGCTCATGCTCACAGGAAAGTGCAAAGGTTTGCATCATCCTGTGCTCTTGCATCTCCATCACAGGCTCTCTCAGCCTGGGCTTTGCAGACTCTGGGTTTCAGCCTGAGCAGAGCGAGCTGTGTTTTCCTCGTGTCTTTATCCACCTGGCAAGTGCTAGGTAATGGGCAAGGTAACATAAACAGGAACAAGCAATACTTTGTACGTTTCCTACAGACTACCTTTCTGCCTGGATGAGGCATAAAGTAACAACCCTCTCCTAGCCACCAGGATTAAAGGTTTCTATGCTCAGCGTTATAAACCTCTTGCATTAGCTCACAAAGCCATGTATTTACCAAAGAGAAATGTTACTCTAGGTAAATCCCTCTGCCAGCTGGAAAAACAAATTGAGTGGATCGAAGGAAACTGAATGTACTGAACACCCAAAGGGTGTCTCTTGTAATTGAGCACAGCCTAGAATAATCCTGGGCTGTCGCAGCTGTCGCAAGCTGCCTCCTGTGTCTGGCCGTCTGTGAGTGCTGGCCCTGCTGGGGAGAAGTACTCAGTGTGCATTGGTGGTGGCTGCACCCAGGGCTCAGCAGAGTCCTTGGGCTCAGAAGGCATTGCCTCTATATTAAGGAGCAGGTCCCTGTCCAGCCCAGAGCCTCCACCACAGTGCATTGCTACAAAGGAGTTTTCCACCAATTATTTAAACAACTTTTCTCCTCCTTTGTTTTTCTGTTCCTTGTTGTTCTGTCCCTTTGCCTTGCCTACCTGTCTTGTATCCTTGCAGATACCACTGGAAGATGCAGTCAAGGGATAACACCTTTGTTTGGCCTTTCATGTGATTAACTCTCTCTTGCTCTTTAAAGATTGGTTCCTATGAAAGCTTTTCTTTCTTCCTCTTTGTCTTGATCATTTCTCCATACATATCTAGCCATGTAGACAGACAGTGGAATCTCTCTAAGGTCTCTTTACAGACAGCACAGACAAAAAGAGTTTGTAGGCCTGAACATCCCACCCTGAAGTATAAAACTGATCAGGTAAACCACATCCTAAAAGTCCCTTGTCCTCTTCAGTAATTATGAAGAGACCCTAAAAGGTTTTTCTCTTGAATAGAGACACTTGAAGGAGAACAAAATTTGGGGAAGCACAACAAAAGGCAGCATGACACAATCTTGGCAGAGTAACTCTCTGTTCATCCACAGGCTTCACAGACCCTACCCAGCTCCTGGTCCCACAGAGCAGCCTCCATGTCCAGCTGGTTCTGGCGGTGGCTCTGGAGACCAGGACCTCTGGATTTTTACAGTGTTGTGTAGGAGTATGGTGTAACCAGAAACATCAGGTCTGGATCTTCTCAGGAAGGCAGGAAGGACAAATATCGCTTCTTGTGAACTACCTAGATATTATCAATTCTCAAGAGAGTGCCGGATAAATGATATTTAACAGACGTCACCATGTGCAGCTCACCAGGGTGAGGAACGTTGTGTGCAATCTGGGTACTGCGCTCAACTCGCTCCAGAGAAAAACACCAGGGCTAATTAAAAATGATGGGTAATTAGATTAGTACTCCAGCTGGACTTTTTGATGCATAAAGGAGGTTTTCAAACATAGAATAAGTAGATTTTAAGGAAAAAATCCTGACTTCAGTCAAGCTACCACATAACTAAGGCATTTAAGCCATGTTATACTAACAGTTCCATCCACCATGCATTACCTGTTGATGCTAGCTTACCTCCACATTTTAAGAAGAGTTTAGCATCGAATACTCTTTTCCCCTCCTAAGGTGTTGGCAATAGGTGCTGACTGGAAGTGTGCAAAGAGCAGCTAGGCATGATTTTGCTCATGAATCACAAAGGTCCTTGCTAGAGGCACAGCATCAAGGAGCACAGGGTGTTGCAGGTAGCAGGACCGTGTGTGATTTACACTGAGTAAAAGGGCTGGGGCAGGAGGGGCAGGGGCTGTTTCCAGTTTGCTGCATGCAGACTCCAAGCACCCACTCATTGATTTCCCTGTTTGCTGACGGAGCATGAAACAATTGCCCAATGCCTGCCCTGGGTGATTTGGGTTGTCCTGCCCAAGCGTGGATGCAAGCAGAGGTACCCTGTTCATGGGTGAGCAGTCACCACATGCATCCCAGCAGGATGCTTCGCTAGCTTTGGGGTGTGTGAGGAGCATTCCTGAGATGCAGGTGTCTGATTCTGGGGCTCTCCCTTAATGGGAGTGTGAATTCTGCCATCTCTTACACGTCTTATATCTGGGCACAATCACTGGGTACATAGGTAAGTGCCTGGTGCCATCTCTGCTTCGCTGCAGTGGTCCCTGCTTAGAAACACTGTGTCTGCCTGCAGGCTTGTAATGGTACCCCAAAAAATAGTTCTTCCTTCTTGTTCCTCACACAGGAAAGCAGCCTGGAAACACTGGTGAGAAATAACTGTCTGGGAACGAGCTCTGGAATAGCTCTGCGGGGCGCTCGCACTGCCGGCTCTGCAGCAGGCTGTCAGGCTAAGCTTTCTTAGGCATTTTTCCCACACTGACAGGCCGGAGGGCACAAAACAACTGTCTAACAGTGACTAATGAGAACTGCTGCCTGTCTCCATGCAGAAACACTTGGGAAGGGAGGGGTTTCAGGGAAATAAGAGCCTTCTCTGTTGCTCCTCCTTGCCTGGGAACAACGCTTTCTGTGGTTTGCAAACTGGGGAGTGCTTGAACCTAAAGTCAGGTTTATTCCCCTCTGCACACACATTTCCCCCATCCTTCATGTACACAGCTGAAGCATGCACAGAAATTCTCTTTAATGCAGACTGAAAACCCAAGGGTCTTCTGGCCTGGTTCCACTTTTTATGTGTATGAAGGCAGCCACAAACAGCGGCACATCCAGTGGTGCATCCGGAGCTTCGGCAGTGCCAGGACTGCCCTTGCCTCTGACTTTGTTTACGTCAATAAGAGCAGGATTGTTGCACATCTCTGTCGGCACAACCAAAGGAAAAATTAGTGCATCTCATCGCCCTGGCTCAACTTGAGAGGTTCTGGAATTGTGTTCTGAATCTTTTTTAGCAATCTTGAAAGCAGGGAGAGAA